CACTGAGCATTGTGTGTTTGCAGGAGGGAGAAACCTCTATTGTTTCCCTTCTGGAACAACTGATGTGCTCCAGTTCTGTCTGTTCCTGTTCTACATGGTTGCATTTCACACCACAAGTGTCTCCACCTCTGTGTCACCCATCACCTGTCAGCTCCTGGTGTGTGTGAGCAACACCAGTTGGGAAGAGCACAAAGAACTCGGGTGTTTGAGTTGCAGATTGATTTGTAAATCAGCTTTGCTGCAGCCAGGTTTGATGTCCTTGCTCTCCTTGGTGTGACTGCAGCCCCACGTCTGTGTGGAACCACACGATGCTCTAAAAGCATGTGGAAGGATGGAAACCTCCTGGGGAAATCCATCACTCGCCAAGGCTTTGAGGAGAGAAGTGTCTGTGGAGCAGTTTAGTCATGCTCAATGAACTTATCACTGCAAATGTCAGGGAGAGGTCATCAAAAATACAACAGGCTCGTTACTCACTACCTGCTTTGCAACCTCAAAAATAGATCTAATAACTTATAAATAAGGTAATAAATGGTGGGTAAAATGACCGATGTCGGGCACCCAGTGCAAGGTGAGGGAGCAATGCGCCCTTGTGGCAAAGGAGGCCACCAGCACCCTGGAGAGCATCCCAGGAATGCTGCCAGCGGGTCAGGGAGGTGATCCCTCCCCTCTGCCAGCACTGGGGGAAATATCTGCACTGCTGGGAGCAGGGATGGGCTACCGAGTACAGCAGAGCCACGGGCAAACTGAAGCAGGGCCAGCAAAGGGCCAGGAAAGGGACTGGGGTGTGGAGGAGGCTGAGAGCTGGGTCTTCTCAGCCTGAGAGGGAAAGGCTCAGGGGGATCTCATTAGTGCAGGTAATTAACTGATAGGTGAGTAAAGAAGATGGAGCCAGTCCCTCCCAAGTGGTGCCCAGTGCCACGGCAGAAACATCAGTTTGGGGGCAGCTGAGGGCACTTGGTGTGTTCAGTTGGAGAAGAGACTGAGGGGAGACCTCAGTGCAGTTCCACCTTCCTGGGCAGGGGCAGAGGAGGGGCAGGGACTGAGCTCTGCTCTGGGGGGACCAGGGACAGCAGCCAGGGAATGGCTGGAGCTGTGTCAGGGCAGGCTCAGGTTGGATCTCAGCCCAAGGTTCTTCCCCCAGAGGCTGGTTGGGCACTGCCCAGGCTCCCCAGGGCAGTGGGCACAGCCCCAAGGCTGCCAGAGCTCCAGGAGGGTTTGGCTGATCCTCTGGGGCACAGGGGGTGACTCTTGGGGATGGACCTGTGCTGGGCTAAGGGTTGGACTGGATGATCCTTGTGGGTCCCTTCCAGCTCAGCACATTCTGGGATTCTGGTGTTCTGTGAAGAGGCAAGGAGCACAAGTTGTAATACAGAAAATTCCACTTAAATATAAGGAAAAGCTTTCTTACTGGTGGTTGAACAGTGGAAAAGAATTTGTAGAGAGGTTATGGAGTTTCCATCCTTCATGTCACAGAATCACAGAATCCTTAAGGTTGGAGAAGTTCTTTAAGATCATCAAGTCCAACCATCACCATGTTCACCACTAAACCACGTCCTCGAGTGCCACATCCACGTGTTTTTCTGACACTTCCAGGGATAGTGACTCCACCACTGCCCTGGGCAGCTGTGCCAATGCTTTACAACCCTTTCCACGGAGAATTTTTTCCTAATATCCAATCTAAACCTCTTCTGGTACAACTTGAGGCCATTTCCTCTCCTCCTGGCCCTTGTTCCCTTCAAGCAGAGCCCAACCCTCGCCCAGCTCCCCCCTCCTGTCAGGGATTTGAAGAGACTGAAAAGGTCTCCCCTGAGCCTCCTTTTCTCCAGGATATCTTTGGAGATACTCCAAACTATGATGAAATGATCCTGGACCACAGAAGCTGACCCTGCTTTGGGCAGAGATTGAACTAGAAGGTCTCCAGAGGTGCCTCCAGCCTCAGTGATTTTGTGATTTTATGAACTTGACAGCAGATAAGCAGCTGCAAGAGAGACAGTTGTACTCAGGGCACTGACAGCCCTGACCTGCACTGTACAAACCAGCTGTCTCTGCAACCAAAATCCTACAAATTCTGCACGAAGGAGGCTCCCCAGAGCTGGGTCTGGCAGCTCCAGCAGCCCCATTGGCAGCCAAAATGCTAAACACCATTCTGCCAGCAATATTTAAAACACATTTCTGCTTGACAATGCCATGGATCAAATCTGCTGGAGTGAATTCCAGCCCAGACCTCATCCCCACAGCTTTCCAGAGGCACAGAGTATTGAGATTATCTAAGAGAATGGTAAAGTTATGATTGTCAAGGTTCATGACCTAGAAATACCTCTATGGGAAAGCATTTTCTAGTAATAAATTGGGTTTTTAGTCCCACCAAGCAATATAAAAGATCTAATAGAAGTTGAAGCCAGATGAGTCAGTTAAGACCTAAAGTATATTGTGGTTTTTGGTAACAAAGACTGAAATTACTGCAGTTATTTCTAAAGATGTGCCATACTGACCACCACGGACAGTCTTTTAAAATTGTATTATTGAAAAGGTCTGTTTGAACTCAGGGACGGTTAAAACCTAATGCAGGATTAGTGAGCATGAATGTGCATCATGTTTGCTGGAAACTAGATAAAAATTAACCCATCTGCCCCCAAAATGGTCCTTTGCAGGGTCAGGAGTTGGGCTCAATGGTCCCTGTGGGTCCCTTCACACTTGGCATATTCTGTGTTTCTGATTCTGGGAAAATGCCCCTGGATAGTTCCAGGGATTCCAGAAATACTTTCTCATTTGTCCCACCCATCCTCTGGTCCAGTTTTCAAAATTAAGTGAAATTTGACCATATGGAGGAAGAGAAACTGAAGCAAAGTCACAAAACATTTTCCTGCAGGACTTTCCCTTGCTGAAAACAACCAAGAGTGGAGGATTGAGAGGAAAATTCTAACTGAGGGCCCTGTGGGCCACTAATTCAAGGGCACTCAAGGTGTCCATGTAAACCCGGGCTCCTCTTAAAGTTCGCTCAATCCTTTGGGATCAAACCCTTTGGGTGTTTCCAGCTGTCTTTGTGTTTAAGGAGTGCCTGGTTCCCAGATGGAGCAGTCCCCCAGCAGAGATGTCCAGTGTGTTGTCCCCTGAATAAATAAGCTCTGATTTAATCCTGCCTGTAAACAGACACTCCACGTGCTGTGCAAGGAGAGGAGTTTCAGGGAGATAAAGCACAACTTCTCAGAAACAAATAATGCCAAGTTAATCTTATTTTTATTTTTTTGCCGTGTTTTGTGGCCAGGGAGGAATAATTTCTATTAAGGCTCATGACCTCAGCAAGATTTCCAGCAGTTTCTAGGAAAGTAATGTGAGTTTAATTTGAGAAGCATGTTGTTAATGAACCTCTCTGGGGTAGATGTGTGACCAGAAAGGGGAACCAAAGATGAACTGATGTGGTTCTGAATTTAGTCTCCTTGTTACTGGTGGAAAAGGAATTTGCTTATTAAATTTGCAGGTGATATGAAGCTTGGGTGACCATAAGTCTATTAGAGAATGGGATTAGAATTTAAAATGTTCTTGACAAATTGGAGAAATAAATTGATAGCCTGAAAATAAATTGATTAAATGGAGAAAAATGAAATGCATTGGACTAAAACAAGAATGTTAAAATCTATTGGAGAACAATTGGACAGTTTCTCGGAAAAGCAATAAGGAATCACAAAAGGATCACAAACTTCACGTGAACCAGGAAAAGTAAAATATCACGAGTTTGTGTGAACAAGAGAAGTTGACTTGGAAGAATCCAGGGAATCCATTCTGTGCTGGTCAGGTCTCTCTGAGAAACACATCCCAGGCCTGAGAAGGATCCAGGTCACTCAGAGAGAGCACAGGGTGCTAAAATGATAGTAATCAAAGGCAAAACAAGTTTTATAGAGAAACATAAAAGAAATGACATTAATTTGAAGAGTAAAGGGAACACACAGGAACAGTGTTTTCATAAAGAGCTGTGGCAGAAACAAGGAGGATTTTCTCCATGTCCCTGGAACAGAAAAGAAGCAAGTGAGAACAGCAGTGAGAAAGACCCAGGAAACAGCTCTTCTTGGGGGAAAGTGAAGTATCAGTGACAGTTATAAGAACATCAGAGTATCCACCCTGTACAGGGAGAGCACAACAGGAAAGATTTCTAGAAATCTCCTCTCACCCTCCACTGCTACAGTTCCATCTCTGTTGTAAAGATCTGGACAAAGCATTCATTCCTTACTGAAGGCCTGTGTGGAATCTAAAGGCCATGGAAGTTTATCAGGACTCACTCATCTAATGGTTTTATTACAGTGAGAAAGAGGCAGAGCTGTTTTCCACCCCACAGGGCACTTCCCAAGCCCAGCTCTGGCAGCCACTCTGCCATGGATTTTTTCCTCTACTTTGCAGCATTTAATACTGAATACATCAGTTTTACAGGATTCTCCCTTCTTAGGGAGGGAGATCCACATCCATGTGCAGACATTTAACTCAACTTCATTGACTAGAGGCCACTTATTTGATTTCTCTCTGCACTCAAACAGGACATTGTTGCTCTGGTTGTGCTCACAGTGGGACAGTGGGTTTTGGGTGGTTGGGGATAACATCCTGAAAACCTCCAAACTTCCAAATCTCCCAACCTCCAAGTGTCCAGGTCTCCCTGGTGGGTGGAGGTGGAGCAGGGGAGCAGGGGCTTTGAGGTTCCAGCAGCTCCCGGGAGCCCATTTGGGTCCAGCAGTCACGGTTTGCTCCTGCCTGGACATGCTTCTCACCTTTGCAGATAACCTTAATTTGCAGGCTCAGCAGAAGGGGAGCAGATTCCTATTATCATATTCTTCTTGCATCTGGAATTTTAAGTGAACTACAGAACAGAATCTTCTGCTTTCTTAAGCATTTTCCTCTCCTTTTTTGAATCACGCTGAGATTTCCTGTGAGTGCTGTGAGCTGTAATTATCATCTGCAGATCACTGGGTTTGCTAAGCTAGTTCTTAAAGGTTTTTTTTTTCTATGAATTTCAGATGACCAAGAACAAAATTATAATCACCTGATACTAGACAGTGCCACCCAGACACCTACACATGGTAAGAGATAACAAAGAGCAAAATTACACACGGTGTAACTTTCCTCTACCAGCCAGTAACATTTACTGGTGTCAAAGTATGTTTAATGTTAATAGAAATGTTCCTATGGCAATGCTGCATGACTGATGCTTTCCATTAACATTAAATATAGGACCATATTTTTCAATAGTGTGCACAATGAAATATGGCCCAGGCTTTTAGAATTGTGCCGACCAACCTCGTGTTCCCCTGTGTCTGATTGCTCCTTTCTCTCTTCCACATCAGCAAAGTGGTGTCAGATTTAACCAGACAAACCAGGAAAAATGATAAGCAAGGAAAAGTCTGTTTTGTCAGCCAAGCCATGACTTCCAGTGCTGCTTGGGCAACTGTGCAAGGGCAGTTGGAAGGACAGGGAACATAGGACAAGGCTTCCTAAGCTGATGTGGTTTTGGCACAACAATACGTGGCCAGAGTTGGGGTTCATGGCTAAACCCAGCCTGTCCAACCCCTGCTTGCATGGGGCTGGTTGGAATAACCTGCTGAAGGCCCTGACTCACTGCACAACATTACTCAAGTTTCTCCTGTTCAGGACAGACAGACACCATGAGGGATTCAGGGCTGTCCCTGCCCAGTGCCACGGACAGAACCTCCTCTTCCTAAACCATTACAGTGGTCGCTCTCACACCCTTCCAACCCCCCCTATTTTATCGTGCAAATGTGAAGTTTCTCTGACCCAGGGACTTATGGAACCCAGAGCACCTTTCATGTCCCTGCACCCACCACAGACTGACCAGCACTGCCTGTCCCCAGAACCTGAGGTGCCCCCTCAGGAGATGTCTGAGGCAGCCTCTCGTCACAAACCTGTCTGCTCATCCCTCTAAAGGGGAGAGAAGCCCCTCCAGAATTTTTCCAGAGCTTCCCGGGTTTGGTCTTTGTACCCAAACAGCTCCACATGTGTGAAGCTCCTGCCAGTGCTCTTGCTGAGCTCAGAAAACACGAGTTTCATGTCTCATGAAACATGTTTCAGCAGCACTTTTTGGCACCTCTCTACCCAGCCCTCTTGACCTAACAAGGGATGCCTCATGTCATCCTGGAGCCAGTTTCAGGAATTCAGACACTCTTCAAGGACCCTTCTTTGTTTTCCACTTTGTTTCCTTCAGCTCATCCCAGCCTGGAGAGATTTCTTCACTTCTTCCATGCCCAGAAACCTTATCCCTCTCTGCTCAGCCCTGTCCCCCCAGCCCTTGTGCCTCCCCTGCCCTCTCTCCCTCCTCCTTTAGGTTTCCTTGGCCCCAGATCAGCAGTTGAGTGTGGGCAGTGACCCCCCTCCATCACCAAATCAATCACCCACAGCTCCCTGGCTCCATCCAAACCCAGACCAGTCACCACCACCCAAAACAGTGGTTCCTCCATCACTGGGCAATCAGACCCGCCTCTGAATGACCCTTCAGGTCCTCTCTGCTTTCTTCCCTCTTCTGCTGCTTCTTGTCCTGGTCTTGTCCATGTTCTTCCCTGCACCTTTACCCTTGGAATGTGATCTATTCCTCCAGCTTGCTGCTGGAATCTTCCTGCTACTGCTGAACCAGGAAGAGATTGGTAAATCTCATCTCAATAAGCACTTCTTGCAGCTCTGAGTCTGTATTTGTTACTTGGTTTTGTCCTGGTATTTGTTTTTAATTCTGAAACTTCATCCTGTTAACGGTTCTGGAGTTGATTTACTGCGAGTCGTGTCCATGTATGGAAATTTCCGTGCTGCTAAAAAAGGTGGGAGAACCCTTGGAAAGGCCACCTAAAATCTTTGGTGTTTCTCCTTCCTAGAGGGTGGGTCAGGATCTCCTCAGCCCACAAGTTCCTTTCACTTGTAAGACAACATTACTGGGATTTCTTTTTCTGTCTTTCAAAAACCACAGGAGAAACAGTGTCAGCTTTAAACCTGGTTGTGGCACAGGAATTTTTATCAAACCTGAATCAACAGCCTCAACTGTTCCTCAGACTACTCACTCTGTTTACCTTTTTACCTTCCTGAGGAAAAAAAGAAGGAAAATACAGAGAAATAGGGTTGAAATTGTGTTTTGTTCTCTTTTGTTTTACTACTTGTTCTTAAAATCTGTCTCCTGCTGGTTCTGAGCTGCCCCAGCAGGGCCAGGTGAGTCCTGTTTTCCTGCCCAGGAGTTTCAGTGCAGCTTCATCTTCATTCAATAACTCAAGGGAACAACATGTGCTCAAACAACTCAACTTCCCTCTGGCCCTGGCAGCTGCTTTGCTTTTTTATGTACTTAAGAGACAAAAATCAAGGCAGATAAACTCATGATCTTGGATTTCTTGCGTTTCCTGAGTCTTAATAATTTGGTTGAACAAAGTGACTTGGATGAGCTGACTACAAATAACTGTGTGATTCAGAGTTCCATTTTATTCCTGAGTTATCCATATGGCCACGGGCTCTTTTGTTCCTTATATTCACGTGTGCTATTGCTGAGAAGCCATTGCTTGGTGAGTCTGAAGAGATATTTGGACCTTTCAAATAAGGCATCAAAAGAGTTTTCAGTGTTCAGAGTTACTGCTGCAATTCTGAGTGAGCCCAGCAAGGGCTCAGGTTTAATTTAATCCCTTCCTGGGTGGGACAGGGTGTGTATTTTCTGGGGGACTGTGCAAATTTTTAGGGGGACATGAGCTGCCTTTCTGAGGATCTTGTTCATGAGCTCTGTCCCTCAGCCTGCAGTGACATTCTGAACAGAGCAGGAGGGAAAGAAGTTGGTGTGATGGTCAAGACATGCCTTTCTTGCACATGGTCTGGAATCACTTTTAACTCAATAAATGTCCTTCTCTGCCAGCACAGAGCAAGCAGGGCAGTGACTGTGGGTGACCTGCCACCAAACAAACAACACTTCTTTCTCTCTTTCTCTTTTTTCCTTTCTTTTTCTTTTTCTTTTTCTTTTTCTTTTTCTTTTTCTTTTTCTTTTTCTTTTTCTTTTTCTTTTTCTTTTTCTTTTTCTTTTTCTTTTTCTTTCTTTCTTTCTCTCTTTCTTTCTTCTTCCTTCCTTCCTTCCTATAATTCTAGAATGTACAATTACACTGAGTCTCCAAACTCATTCCACCCTGGGACTGAGCAGCAGAGGATTCCCACAGAATGGGGGATGTGGCAGAATTCCCATTCCCAGCTATGGAGACATGGAGCCCAGGGCTCTGCAGGAGGAGGGAGGAAAGCCAAGTCCCCTTTCCCCTTCTTCTCCTGGCTAGGCCTGTCCAAAAGCAGAGCTAAATGCACCAACCCATTTGTTTCCCCAAAGGTCTTGGGAATCACAGCAGGAACTTTGTGTGAGGGAATGATCCAGATGTGCAATGGGGCAGCCATTCCACTGTTTTGGGAATCATAACAGGATCTGTGTCCTGGTGTGATCCAGATGTGCAGGGGGGCAGCTGTTCCACCAAACAACATTCTGGGAAAAACCCACTGTCCCAGGAACATTGTTGAGCTGAGAAAGGCAGAGGATGGTCAACATCTATTTCCATGGGCTGATGCCCTGATGATTCTGTTCTGCTCCCTGTAGGTGCCACAGAGGAACTAATTACAGGGGATAAGAACAACCTCTGCCCACAAGGAATCAGGAAAAAATACAAAAAGCAGATTTGCCCTCAGCCCTTGGAGCTGTTCTGCTTCGACTGCAGGTTCCAAGGGTTAAACCCCCAAGGGTCTCTGGTGTGCCCTGCATGGGAGGTGCCACTCCTGGGGCACAGCTTCTTCAGCAAAGGCTCTGCCCGTGGCAGTGCTGTGATTCCTCTGAACTCTTCTGATGCAGGGAGGAATAACTGCTAATTACTGGTGGGGTTGTGTGTAATCTGCTCTGTCAGCTGCTGTCACCTCATTAGCACAGTGCTCTCTGCAGCTCAGAGGGAGGAGGAAGGCTCCCTTCCCTCCCTGCCTGGCTGGCACTGAGGGGGATAACGTGTCTGGAAAATGTGGGGTGTTGGGGAGGACAATTCCCGGTGGAGATCAAGCAGAGGGAGCTCAGGGAAGTGAGGCAGAGGAAGTGTCCAAGGTCAGGTTGGACAGGGCTTGGAGCAACCTGGGCTAGTGGAAGGTGTCCCTGCCCACGGCAGGGGCTGGAATGAAATGGGCTTTAAGTCCCTTCCCACCCAAACCAGTCTGGAATTCCGTAATTCCATGACTCTGCCAAGCCATGCTCTGCAATACCAGCATTTAAATTCCAGTGTTGAGGGCTCTGAATGACCCACCCCGACTTTGACCACCCCACATCTCAAAGAAATCCTGGATTTTTTTTCTGCTCTCAGATCATTCTTGCCCCTGATTCCCTTGCGGGACACCAAATGTCCCATTCCAGAGGTATCTCCAGTCCTTTAGAAACCTCAGCCTAAATTCTAAATTTTCAGTGACAGACTTCAGACCCCAGTCCCACTGAAATCAGAATTTTGATGTGGGTTTCCTGAACTCCAGACTTGATTTCTACATCAGCTGCAGATTTGAGCTGCAAATGAAAAACTCTGCAGCAGTTTTAGGAAATGTGGTGATTTGTATGTAAAAGGTGAGTGGGAGGGAGCGAGTCCCAGGCTCTGAGCACATTTCATTTTACATATGAAATGCAGTGAAATCTTTTGATACATTAATTTATCTTGCTTAGATATTCAGTCTTCATACAAAATAAGCGCATAAAATGCTTCTGCTATAAAAACATTAAAATATGAAGAAAAAAACCAAGCTGGGGGCACAAAAGAGAACTGAGGCAGTGTAGCATCAGTTGTAACAGAAATATATGTTGACTGCCCGGGCTTAGTTTCTGTAAAGCTTATTACTTTATTTTTTACTGCTACTGAAGTTTAATCTCATTATATTTAGTGCATATATAATTATCCTACCCTAAAGAGGATCTGAGAAACATAGTTTTTTACATCTACATAAATACCAAGCACATTTCCAAATAATATAGTTAATAGGAAGTCCATATCAGAATTTTTATGTCAGTTAATTGCATTTGACAATCAGCTCAAAAAATACTTGGTAAACC